AAATGAAAAGGTGCACGGCTCCTTTTGAGACCCACCAATGCCGCTGTCTGCTCTGGTGAAGCGAGGAAGAAGCGTTGTCAACAGAGGGTGCTGCATCCTCTCTCTGGACCGGGTGGCACTCCTGGGAAAGCCGAGCGGCCGGGCTCGGATTGAGATGTCCTTGTTTTGTTCTGCTGTCAATGGCCTGGATCAAAGGTCAACCCGCCTCCCAGGCTGCCGTTCTGACGCTGCGGTCCGCTTCACCACCCAGCACCCCCTTGGCACAGCTCCCCAGGCACCTCCTGCATTTCGAACTGGTCCAAAGAGGCACCTGTTTTTACAGAACCCAGCCCTGGTACACTTCTTTGGAAGCGGGTGCCCGCCCTAGGAGTGTTCTCAGCTCCGAAGAATGACATTTCTGGAAGGTTATCTTTAGGCGTCACCGAAAAGAAGCCCTCGCCAGCTTTGAGACGGGCGCAAACCGGAGGAGGCTTCAAAGTCCGCTGCTCTGGGCCTCAGGACGAGGGCAGGAGATCGCCGGAGTGGAATTAGCACACAAACACAATTAAACAAGGGGATATTGTTCCGGTTGTCTACTTTGGCCGAACCAAAAAGTTTTCATTTCAGGCACATTAGAAACTCATTAAAGTTACAACCGTTGCCCGGTCACGAAAGTTTATTTTTTTTTATAAAGGTTTTATGTAATCGTACAAGTTCCAAAGGGCGTGTTCCTAGAGCATCACAAGCTGGAATTAATTTGTGCAGTGGATTAAGGCTGTGATCCTTAACGTTTTTTTTACGCCGTGTTCGTTTAGAAGATCCTGCCATTCAAGAATGGCCAAAGGCGATTTGGTGATTCCTCGGTAAACTTGGAGATTGTTTTTTCCTCTTCCTTCTTCCCCTTTCTCAATTATCTGGGCCAGGAGGTATGCTTGAAATAAAAGGAACCAAATCCAAGCTGCGCATCAAGCCTCATGATTTAAATGAGCAGCAGAAACCAAAGGCGAAGAATTACTCACGCTGAGATTCAGAAATGTCGTAAACCCGAAGAGGGAATTTTCCCGGAACACCCGTGTTCTTATTACATTGCCAGAAATCCAAGCTATTAATAAGCAATTTTGCAACCTATAATTGAGAGTGTTTTTTCCCTTAAAAAAACCAAACCGGGAGCTTTTGTTTAATGTGGGTGGTTTTTCCTCATGCTCGTATATCAACTTCGTGTTTATAGTAGAGTTGGGGTGTTGAAAAGCCCAGAGTCAAGACTGGAAGACACAGAGCAAAGAAAAGAGACCAACAGGAGTGTGTGTGTGGGGGGGAAATATCTGTGGCTGTCAAGGTTACTCAACCCCCTTCATCCTGGCTCTGGGGCAGCAGCCTGCCTCTTTCTTTGCAATTTTTTCTTCCTCACCATCCAACCTTGAGCAGCCAACTGGAAGACTTTTAACTTGCAAGAAATTTAAGGAGTTGCACTTCAGGATGAGACACCGGGAAGGGAACCAACAGGTACAGTTCTGAAGACGTGTTGGCTTGGACTCAAGAAATCAAGCCAAGCTGGTCGCACTGGAAGTGCTCTTCGCTCAACTAGAGTCTCCTTGTGGGTCATCAGGTGGCAGGTGTCCCTCCCCACAAGCCTCTTCCATCCCTCTCTTTCCCAAGCTTTCTTCCATCACCACAGGAGCCAGCTGGTCTCATGGAAGAACTCAACGTGACCTGGGGCCATCTTGGTCCGAGCCTCATTGGAGACACCATTTGTAGCAGAAGGAAGGGCCCCAGAAAGACACTCTTGACCATGTTCCACAAGACAATGATCCACAGCCCAACGGGGGAAGATGGCTTGACTGCCGAAACTGGGCACACGGAGGCCAACCAAGACCACGACTTGGAAGGAAGGAAGGAAGGAGGGGTGGTCTTCCCGGCGTGAGAGGCAGAGAAGAACGAAGAACCGAGGTCCGCGGGTGAAACTGAGGCCCAGCGTTTCACTCGCTGGGTTTTTTTCGCCTGATGGAGGATCAAACAGGAAGCCTCCATCCCATTCCCGGACCCAGGTCCGGATGCTGAAGGGGCGTCTTGGTCTGCTCACCAAAGCCGCCTCCTGCTGCTCCCAACGCAGAGAAGGCAGCGACCACCCGTTGCTGAAACGGAGGGCAGCGCCTGTCACATCGCCCGTCTCCCTTTGCCTGGATAAATCCCCCCTGGAGGGTCTTCATCCCGGGAGCCATCAAAGGAGGAGAAACAACACTCTGGACCTACCCAAGGTCTATGGCTGCCTGCTTGCCGCCCCCTCCCATCTCCCTCTGGACTCACCTCAATGTCCGGGATGTTTTCAAACAGCTGGTGGGCGATGTCTTTGCACCCCTGCTGAAGCGCTTCCGGGGGCATCTCGTTGTCGGAGTACCAGTCCCGGTCGGCCGAGTGTGCGTAAGCGGCACTCGGCGTGGCGTGGTTGACGCGGGTGGTGGTGACAATGCCCACAGATTTGCCTGCCCGCCCGGAGGAAGAAAAGGCACATTAATCACCGCCACCACAGGGGATTTGGGGCACAAAGAGACACCTCGGCCCCCTGCCGCCAGCTGGGAGGATGCCAGGCGCGGGCAGGGCCGCTGGGTGCAGCGCCAACCTTTTTCTTGGCTGCTTGGCTAAACCAACCCCTTCTCCGCAAGGGGCTCAGCCTTTCCCAAAAGTTTATCAACTTGGCTGAACCGTTTTTTTGATCTCTTAGCTAAACGCTGTGCTGTGGGTGGTCTCGCTGGGCTTATGGGAAGAACAATGGGGATCTGTCCTGTGCTTAGCCTCCCCTCTGCTCTCCCACACCCCCCCTGTGCCCCCCACCTGGGGAAGCTGGAGGGGGGAAAACATCCCAACATTTATTGCCGTTGCGGATTTGGAGTCTCCGTCAAGCGAAACCCTGAAACAAGACAGCTGGGCCAGGCGCTAACCTTTGAATGCCAGCTAGTTAATAAGTCCCCGTTGAGCATTTCACCCGAGATTTAATGTTTATCTCGCCTCTGAAATTTGGCCGCTTAGAGTGCACAGAATACTGTTTAAAAAGGTTAAAAGAAGAAGAAGAAGAAGAAGAAGAAGAAGAAGAAGAAGAAGAAGAAGAAGAAGAAGAAGAAGAAGAAGAAGAAGAAGAAGAAGAAGAAGAAGAAGAAGAAGAAGAAGAAGAAGAAGAAGAAGAAGAAAGAAAGAAAGAAAGAAAGAAAGAAAGAAAGAAAGAAAGAAAGAAAGAAAGAAAGAAAGAAAGAAGCAGAAGCCACGACAGAAATATTTCTGACTGTGCTTTTTACCAGCAGAGAAAGTGAGCAGATTTCTCTCGTCTGCTTTTCGTAGCCTGGAGGAATTTCCTGGCTTCAGGCAGCCCAGTTGGTCTGTGAGGTGGCCACGGTTCTTGGCGGTTTGCTGTGGCTTAGTGTCCCGTGGACCCCTCCCCGTGGTTTACAGACCGCGGTTGTCATGCCTTAATGTCGTGCGTTAAGGCAGCCAGGGCTGGCTTATTCAGCAACCACAATTATGAACAACATTTCTTTAGCAACAGGTGAGCCTTGCTTTTTTCGTTCCAACGTTGGAGGTGCTAAACCAGGGGTCTTCAAACTTGGCCCTTTTATGACTCGTGGACTTCAACTCCCAGAATGCCTGGCTGAGGAATTCTGGGAGTTGAAGTCCACAAGTCATCAAAGGGCCAAGTCAGAAGACCCCTGTCTTAAATCTAACAAACAAAATGGAGGCTGGCTGAGGAATTCTGGGAGTTGAAGTCCACGAGTCATAAAAGGGCCAAGTTTGAAGACCCCTGTCTTAAATCTAACAAACAAAATGGAGGCTGGCTGAGGAATTCTGGGAGTTGAAGTCCACAAGTCATAAAAGGGCCAAATCGGAAGACCCCTGTCTTAAATCTAACAAACAAAATGGAGGCTGGCTGAGGAATTCTGGGAGTTGAAGTCCACGAGTCATAAAAGGGCCAAGTCGGAAGACCCCCTGTGCTAAACTTTCTCCCCGGTGTTTTTATCTATTTTCTGCAAATCTTAACACTTAGCTAGAAGGGCTTTCTTTCTGATTTCATTTTATCAAACGTCTCCAAGGTTATCCGTGGGTCTGTCCCTACCAGGAGAGGCTCCTCTATCACCAGCGACCTGAAGTAATTCCTCTGAAAATCTAAATTGCTAGGAATACTTTTCTTTCCTTCCCTGCTCAGCTGAATTGTACCCATTTACCTGTGTGGATTTCACGGACCTGTCAGCATACCTAATACCCCTAACTTCTCATCCTTGGTTGTTTCTCTTAAGCCAATTATTTCCTTTCTTTCCTTTACTGCAGGGGTTCCCAACTGCGGCCCCTTGGGGGTGCAAGACGATATTCCAGGGAGTGCAAAAAAGTTTCAAAATTATAGCGTATGTGCCTAACCAGGTATTACTTTTGTAAGGGGCGCGAGAATATATCAGGAGCGTTCCAGGGGTGCGGGGTATAGAAAAGGTTGGGAACCCCTGCTTTACTGGACGCTATTAAGCAACAGTGTCTCCAACTCCTGGCCTGGATCCTGCTGCTAATCTAGGATTCCCCTGGCTAGGAAAGGGATACCCCGTAAACCTTCCCAGCTATTTCCACTCCTTCTGCAATCACTATCGCCCTCTCCAGCCTGACACTCGCTTGGTTTCCTCTTTCAAAGTTGAGTCTCTTAACTTCAGAGTTAGATAGTGGTTAACCACAGGAACAGCCCGAGCTGCAGGCCAGGAAGCTGGGTGATGGAAGCCAAGTTGTGCGGGGATGAGAGGAGCGGGCAGAAGCACCTGATTTCCTACCCAACCCCCACTTGTGCGCAGGGATTTTTCCCACCTTCCCCAGCGAGGCTGTGGGTTGAACTTCAGCCCTTCCTCTCCAGGGCTGTCGTCGGCAGCCGGGGACGGACCCATCGCACTGCTCTGACGGCACTGAGCAAGGATGCAAGGCCACGTTCCACACGTTGCCACTTTCCTGTCCCAAGTTCAATGCCAGACTCGCCCTTTTGGAGGAAGGTCAAGTCCTCTATCTTTCCTTTCAGCTTCTGGGCCTTGATGGGAAACCCTGCAAGCCGGGCACCCTGGACTTTCCCATGGGGGGGAAGTCCCAAAGAGAACGAAAGGCTGCCCGCAGACTGGCAAACTTCTCTTCCGCTGTCTGACTGCTCTGCGGGCTTCTTTTGCCAGCGCGGTGCCCTCCGACATATTGGATTTTGATTTGTACACACCACACTTCACTACAGTCAGCTAACCGAGAGAAGCAGACGTAGCACTGAAATTGTGGGTGCTGACTTGGCTGCCGCACACACACACATACACACACACACACCGGATGTCTTATCAAACAAGCTTGGGACTTACATTGTCGAAGGCGTTGGGGTTTTTCAGGCACCCCCTTTTCCCCCAAACCATCATCCACTCCCTTTCTTGCAGCCTCTGTAATCTCTGGCTCTCTAGCTACACAGCACGGGCGGTGCGCGTGAGGCCCTTTGCACAATGCTCCTCCGCCGGAATCGGAACAAACGGTGAAACACCGCTAAAGTTTTGTGTGGGTCCGTGAGGAAACGTCCCGTTTGTTGGCGGACCTCTACCAAAATGTCATTGGAAATTCCTTCTCGAATTTGCCGATCCGAAAAAGTCGTCCCAGGCAGGCTGTGCAGGCTGTCTGGGCACTCTTCGCGGAGCCCGGTCCCTATGTTTGTACGGTTGGGGCTGACTTCCCCAGCCTGTTTCCTGGGTCAGCTGGCAGTGCCACCTCATCTTGGGGCAGGGCAAGCAATTTCAAAAGCCAATTGTTTATCAGGCACCTTGACGGCTGCCATCCAAACATACCCATCTTCAAACTCTGAAGCTTTCACAAGACCTTCTAGATCAGTGGTTCTCAACCTTTTTAATGCCGCGACCCCAACCGGTCGTAAGTCGAGGACTAAACCGGTCGTAAGTCGAGGACTAAACCGGTTGTAAGTCGAGGACTACCCAACCGGTCGTAAGTCAAGGACTTTCCCTGCCCGGGAGCGCCGCGCATGCGTGGTTCCGCCCCCTGCGCCGGCCGAGGCGTAGCTGGCAAGCGGCAGAGACGGAGCAGGCCGACCACCAGCTGGCCCAGCCCAAGGGAGGTAAGGCACCCGCCGGAAAAGGGGAAAAAAATGGCGGACAAAAAAAATGGCAGACAAAAAAAATGGCGGACAGCCTTGCTTGGTGACCCTCATGAAATGGTTGATCGACCCCAAATGGGGTCCCGACCCACAGGTTGAGAACCACTGTTCTAGATCCCTTCAGCTCAGCCCTTCCCAAGACCTTCGTTCCTCAGGAGGGATCTTGTGTGGAAGCCAGACAGCCCGTCCCGGGCTCACCCACCCACCCACCCACCCAAATCCACCCAGACTGTCTTACCTGCAGCTTTTGCCCACTTGAGTATGGAGGTCACTTCGTTGCCGGCTGTCGTGTTGCACTGGGACCGCGTCACGGCCGCACTGACCCCCACGGTGCCCTCGTTGGCCTTCACGCCGCATAAGTAAGCGGTGGCAGTGCCCGCGCTGTCGGGCACCTGGGCATTGGTGTTGTAGGTCTGCCGGAGAGAAAGAATGGTAAAGTGGTGGGTGATACCAGTGGGAACTGCTGTTTCCCACCACGGATGCAGCAACGGCCTTGGGATACGGCTCTGGGTGCCGGCTCTTATAGCTAGCAACTGGTGTCTAAGGGGGTCTTTGCAGCCTCTCCCCTCCTCAGGTGAACAATTTTAATGTCTCCGATTGGCTGCAGCTGTTTGCCCATTTAAGCCGGCCGCCAACGCTTACAAGCAAAAGGCCCAGCCTACCAACATGCGCCGAAACCTGTTTGACCTCTGCCTAGAACCAGGTGTCCCAGGATTTTACGAAAAGATTGATATCAATCCCCTTAATCCTGTTTACGGGGCTTTGTGTGGACGTGGCACGAAGTTGGCAAAGCAAGGCGGCGGTTGCAAAATGTTCTCCTTTGAGCAAGCATGCGTGGCTTGTCCATTGTGACAACCACCAGTTTTAAATGTCTGCAGGGGAGGAGAGCGGAACAAGGAGCAAAAAAAAATAAATCAGAGGTGGGATATTTAAACGGAGGAGGAGGAGGAGGAGGAGGAG